CTCGCGGGGGGCGGGGCCGAGCTCTGGTCCCGGCCGGCGCGCGGGTCGCAGCGCTGCGGAGCGGAAGTGGAGCTTCCGGCGCCCTGGCCCGGCCCGGCCCGGCCATGTCCACCTTCCGGCAGGCGGACGTGGAGCAGCACTATGACATGGGCGAGGAGCTGGGCAGGTGAGCGTGGCCCGCGGGTGCTGCGTCCCCTGGGCCGGGGGGCTCCGGGGCAGCGGCTCTGCGCCGGGCAGAGGAGGTGCTGGGTCCCCTGGGTCTCAGCCCGGGGGCCTTGAGATCCTTGCAGGGGCGCCCAGACCTTCCCAAGAGCGCTGAAGCCCCCGGCAGCCCTCCGGCAGCAGGAGAGCGGCGCTGGGTCTTTGCCGACCGCAGAGGAAGAGCCGGTGGTCTCCTAGATGTCGGGGACCTCGCAAGATCGTCGGGTGAAAGACAGCTGGGGGCGGGCATCACGGAACTGAGAAGCAGCTGCTCTGGGCCCTGCAAAGAAAAGCCTTGGGAGCTGCAGCACGGCCATCTCCCGCCTGTGCCGGGCTCCTGGCCCTTGTCTTCCCCGGGGGATGCGGGGGCTGGCACCCCCCTTCCCTCTCCGTGTGGTCAGTCCCGTGTGCTGCTGCCCGCCCTATGCCGCGTTGCGTTGTGGTGCAGTGCTGCTGTCACGCTGCGGCGACTTGCTCCGGAGCCGGCTGCCTTGTGGCAGTGGTACGAATGATCCCTTGCCTGCGCGCAGGGGCGGGTTGTGATGCTCGCTGCCCTTTTAGGTGCCAGGGTCAGCGAGAGCCTGACGTTTATGCCCATCTCCTATTGCAGCGTAGCTCCAGTCCTTTCCCTCTTTGGCATTGGTTTTCTCTGGTCCCAAGAGGCTTGTGGCTTTGTAACATGCTTCCTCTGTGTCTCAGGGACTTGGCGTGTTTGGGGATGGCAGATTCTGTGATGAATCATCTTTGCCTTTTGAAAGAAGCCAGGCCTCCCTGCAACGCTGTCCTGTTATGTGCTGCATCGTCTTGGAGGCAGGATCTGCACCATCTCGGATGGAGACTGCATCCTGCGATGCAGCTTGCAAGGGAGCATTCCCCAGCTTGCCAGGCTGAGTCGTGGAGTTGCTGTTTGCTGCAGCAGTGCGCGGAGGTCAGCGAGGGCCTTTGTGCCACGTGCTGAGCAGCCCACAGGAGGGCAGAGTCTTGGTCCCGAGCGCCTTATGTTCCCCTGTGGACCTCGCAGCCTGAGGGCCCCAGCCCGTGCAGGGGAAGATCGGCTTGGGCAGAAAGCAGCTTCGCTGCAACTTCAGACTAATCCGTCACTGCAAACGTTTCTAATGAGCTTAGCCTTGTTTTGGTTTTTCGCAACAGCTTTCCCACAGAACTAAACTACTGACCCACATGTAAGGTTGGGGAGCCAGGGGGGTCCCTTTAAGAAGTCTCCAGCCCCATCCTGACCTAGAGAAGAAGGTGGTGCCCTGTAGCTGGAGCAGAGCAGTCTAACCAGATGTGAAACTGGCCTGCAAGGCCAGGGGGAGGTTTGAGCAACAAACTCCTGTTGCTCATGGCTGTAGTGCCCTTTGCTTAGGTAGTGTCTCATGGTCTCTGGACTGTCTGTCGTCCCCTTTGCTGCTTGCTAGCAAAGCAAAGGAGCATTAGGTATTGGGATATGGCTTTGGAGCTCCCCAGAATGGGGCAGTGTCCTTATGGGGTGGGGCAGTGAGGTGGATCTGCCTAAGAGCAGCCCTTCCATCGCCCCCACAAAGAGGCAGGCAAGGATCACGGCCCTGGCATAGCAAAGGACCCGTTGTGGGAGGTGGGCGGCAGTGTGTCTGACTGGCTTCCCTGAACCGTGCCGAGTGGGTGCGTTCTGTTGCCCAGACCATGCTTTGGCGGTAAGAGCCACATCCCTGGCCCAGCTCTTCCAGAGGGCAAAACCCTGGTCCCAAGACCTCGGTGCATCCTCCTGCCAGGGTCCCCTGGAGCAAGCTGCTGCTACCCCAGGGGTTCAGTGTGGCTGGGCAGCAGGCTGAGGCCTTCTCTTCTCCAGCCTGGCTGGTGGGGTGCCCAAGCCCTGGGCCCTTTGGGGAAACGGTTCCTTGTTTCACCGCCCCTTCTGCCTGATCAGGGAGCAGTACCAGTTACTCTGCCTCGCTCTCTCTCTCAGGCAGCTGGCAGCTTGCTGCCTGCGATAACAAAGAGAAGGTGTGGGAGGTGCAAGCTGTTTGAAAGGAGGCAGATGGTTGGACCTGCCTCCGTGCTTTGGGGCTGTCTGGTGTTTTTAGAGGGGAGTGAGCATCTTAAATTGAGGGTCTTGGATGCCTCTTGCTGTGGCGGGCACCCTGGGCACTTACTGCGTTGCAGTAATCGCTCCCACGGCTTGTAAATATTTAATTGCATCGCTGCCCAGGCCGGGTGAGATGAGGACAAGGTGACCTCCTTATTCCTGCCCTTCCTCGAAGCTATCCATTTGAGACTTAGCACTTACCAGCTCCATG